CAGCCATTCTATAGGAGATGGCCAGAGACTACAGCCATTCTATAAGAGATGGTCAGAGACTACAGCCATTCTATAGGAGATGGTCAGAGACTACAGCCATTCTATATGAACTGGTCAGAGACTACAGCCATTCTACATGAGATGGTCAGAGACTACAGTTATTCTACATGAGATGGTCAGAGACTACAGCAATTCTATAGGAGATGGTCAGAGACTACAGCCATTCTATAGGAGATGGTCAGAGACTACAGCCATTCTATAGGAGATGGTCAGAGACTGCAGCCATTCTATAGGAGATGGTCAGAGACTACAGCCATTCTATAGGAGATGGTCAGAGACTACAGCCATTCTATAGGAGATGGTCAGAGACTACAGCCATTCTATAGGAGATGGTCAGAGACTGCAGCCATTCTATAGGAGATGGTCAGAGACTACAGCCATTCTATAAGAGATGGTCAGAGACTACAGCCATTCTATAGGAGATGGTCAGAGACTACAGCCATTCTATATGAACTGGTCAGAGACTACAGCCATTCTACATGAGATGGTCAGAGACTACAGTTATTCTACATGAGATGGTCAGAGACTACAGCAATTCTATAGGAGATGGTCAGAGACTACAGCCATTCTATAGGAGATGGTCAGAGACTACAGCCATTCTATAGGAGATGGTCAGAGACTGCAGCCATTCTATAGGAGATGGTCAGAGACTACAGCCATTCTATATGAAATGGTCAGAGACAACAGCCATTCTACAAGAGATTGTCAGAGACTACAGGCATTCTATAAGAGACTATGGCCATTCTATAAGAGATGGTCAGAGACTACAGGCATTCTACGAGAGATGGTAAGAGACTGTGAACATTGTTGAAATTGTTGAAGACTAGGGAAATGTTTAAGAAGACAGTCATAAACTGGAGAAACATTACATGAAACTGCTAGAGATCACTACTATTACATCACCTTTACAAATTAATGCTTTCACATTTGTGCACCTTACAGTCCTATAAAAATATTTGTGTTGCACATTTAATGTTTCTCTCAGTTGGATCCATTATATAAGATCAGACTTAAAAACATAACAGGGATAGAAAGCACAGGAAATGAAGCTAGTGTGAACAAAATGAAAAGCATATTTTTTCTTCAGCAGCCTGCTGAGCATCTAGGTAACACAGACTACTGTCTGCAGAGGCCCTGAAGGCCACACAGAAATTGCCAAAGGGCTGCATGTGGCCCCCCTGGCCACAGGTTTGGCACCAGGGGCTTAGAACACTACATTTCTTGCGGCCTTTTTAAGACCTATGATGCCCATGATGGTAACCTAGCCTTCCCTCCAGGTGTGTTCCTGGCTACCATCCTAGGGTTGACTGAACTTCAACCCTCTCCAATCGCCATCACCTCTCATGCCCTTCTCCGACTAATTATCAAAGGAGGCATGAACACATGAACACTGGTTTCAATACCTCCAATTGAGGGATTCCTACCAAATGTTATTGTCCCAAACTCAACTCGAAAGGCAACACACTTCATTTGAAGCTATCTGCCTTCACTCTGCCCCAGCAACTCATGTAATCTCCTTCATGTACCCTGCGTCTTTCTGTACAGCTCTCTACATGACCCTGTTTTGTTACTACTAGGGAGCATGATCTTGCAAAAATAAAGCTGACTGACGCTGAAGTACGTTTTTATACTTGCATATCCATTGGTAAAACAGCACAGGAAAAATGGTACATGCTTTTCACCTGTCTGTATCGTTGTCCCAAATCTCTGCATAGAATGTTCCCACATAGGTCTCCAATGTGCTGGTGTTGCACCAATCACATAGTCTCTATACATCACACGTGGTGGACTTGTCCGCGAATACGCCCCTTCTGGAGCTAGGTATTTCCTACTTACCATCAAGCCACCGGGTCGAGTATGTACTACCATCGACACAGGATGCTCTGCTCTCCATCTTTGCAGGGCTCATTTCTCGCACCAAGAAAGGCTTACTCTGGTTTTTTTTGTTGCTATCAGTATTTCTCTTTTTTTATGGTTGGTCTGTCTTCGTCTATAACGTGGATGGATAGCATGGATCGTATTTACACCACACAGCTATTATCTCTCATGTTTATAGTCTCCTTTTTATTCCTAGCTCCATCCCAGTCAGATGATTGGAAAATTCTGCCTCCAGGCCTCATGATGTACGGTCAGCTCCACCCATGTGTTGGATATGCCTTGTTTTTTCTAACTTTGTACCTCTATGCTTGTTGTACCTGTATATTTAAAAGTTTATAATAAACACGTATTCATTTTAAAAAAAAGGTCTTGCTTGCTTGACGCCCGGTGTAAACTATGGGGCCTGGTTGTCAAGTGACTCCTATGTAAATGAAGCTTGCAATCAGTTTCCAGATTTCATTTTTAAAAAGGTTTTAATATTTGTTCTATTCATTGCAATATTTTGGCATATACTTCTCTGGATAATGAAAGTTGAATTATTGAATGTATACTCCATATATGCCTTAACCCCACACCCACATTTCCTTGGAGCACCCTATGTCCAATCAACCCCTCTCCAACCTGATTCAGTTTTCTGGGGACAGATTGGCAGCAAGCTTATGAAAAAAAACAATTCCCTGAGCTAATTTGATGTCTTTGGAAGAATGTATACAATTAGCTGTACCACGGAAGGACCAAGACCACAACATGTAAGACTCTTACCAGCACACCACAATGGTGGGAGAGGCTTTTGCTGCTATATTGCCCGTGTCTGAGATGTCCCAGAAGAGCCCACTTATACCTACCAACGCCTACTTGTATCTACCAATTTACACATTGACAATTATTTACAATGAGGATAGTTCACATCTGTGCAATATGTCAAAGTGCTTTATAGAGCTAGTAATGACAATAGCAGCCAAAGAAAAGGCATACTGGAATTTAACGGATGATGACGCCATGACTAGATGAACACGGGAGAAGTGTGCTAAGATGTGAAGGTATCATTTAAGTCCCGCCCACTGATAAAAACCACCAATCTTTCCAGAAATAGAACTCAGCTGAACGTTGCATGTAATGTATATGACAAGAAAAGACGAAAGAACCCTTGTTTTATAATCGAACAGTTGCCCGTAGACAATACATTGGGAAACCGATTGGCAGGCTGTTCTGGCTACTGTGCCCATAAGCAAGATGGCCACCGCAAATTTATCACACAACGACTTCCGGTCACGTGCCACACGACTCCGGAGGCATGCTCGCAGCGCGCTGCTGGCGGGTCTTGTCCCGCTGGAGGGGACCGCGCGGGTTCAGGGCGGGTTACACACCCAGCTCGGTGACCAGAAGGGCTCCAGACACCCGGCCAGCCCATTATGTGGCTGGGCACGGCCCACTGCATACCTCTTCCCAGCGGTACAGTGACCCTAATCTGGGCGGTGCCCCGGCCACCCACTACCAGCTCATCTACACCTGCCGGGTGAGGAGACGCCCTGTGTGGGGCATTATTAGCTTTACCACTATGGCCACATATCCTCACACTGCTATGGCTCCTTGTCATGTCCTGGACTAAAATATGTGTCTGTGGTAATAATTCTTCTGAGGGCGTCTTAAGCGGGTGATAAAAGGGGCTCAATCAATGCCACCTCAGCACCTTTTTGTGGTAAGGTTTCCTGTTGGTGATACACAACAGGAAGTGGGAACATATTGCTTAATGTGAGGAGAAATCACTTATGTGAACTACCACAAGTGACATTTCATTCAGTTGTACAGACTTTGCGGGGTGTAAGGCAGTTGTCCTGCGTTGTATCGCGATGCGCTGAGAAAGTACTGCATGGTTTTTGGCGCACAACACGCGTAACGGTGCTGTGAGTGGTGTCCATCCGTGACTAGGCGTCTTGTCTTGTGTTGGGCCTGCACTGGGAAAATTGCCCAGCACAGCCCCAATGCACCTGGAGTGAATGGGCGCCCAAATTATAACTGAAGGCAAAGATTTTATGTAAGATTTACATGTAGTGGTGAGGGAACACCTGCCATTAGGAACATTCACACTCTCTTAGGCTCCATTCACATATGGCAAAACAGCACGGCACAATTCTTTTTACATACTTGCAAATTCTGTGCATTTGCGGCTATTAGGCTCCATTCACACGAGTGGGAAACGTGTTAAGATAAAAAAAAACAATGCATTCAATTGTGCATTGTTCAGACTATTGCGGTGGCTGCGCAATATTAAACCGTTCGTCCCACAAAATAGTGCAAGCGCGATTTTAGGGGTGGATTCTTTACGTTTGCGGCTATAATAATAGCTGCAAACACCTGGAATTCACGCGTATGTAAAAAAATGGCATGTTTTCGTGCCGTGTGGTTTTCCGCACAGAAAACTCAAATGCCATGTGGATGGAGCCTTACTATAGTCGCAAATGTGTGGAATCCTCCACTAAAATCACACTTGCACTATTTTGTGGGACGCACGGTTTCATACCGCGCGACCGCCGCAATAGTCTGAACAATGCACTTTGGAATGCATTGGTTTTTATGTATAGCATGTGTAAATGGTGCCTTGTAGCCACAAACGTGTGGAATTTGCACGTATGTGAAAAATTGCGTTTTCCCATGCAACAATGCCAACGCCATATGTGAATGGAGCCCAAGAGTGTGTGAATCTTCCTCAAAGCTACAGAGACGGCTATAAAGACCTGACAGGAGTTCCATCCCCTCCCCACTTTATGTAAATCTATAAAAACATTTTTTAGTCTGATCAGCGCACATTGGAATGCATTTTTTTTCTTCTGTTTAGCGTGTTTCCGCTAAAACCACTCGTGTGAATGGAGTCTAACTGTCCTTGTCACCCATGTTATCGGGAATAAAAGTGAAGTGAAATCCAATAGTTTGAGTTGCCACCAAAACAGAAATAGAAGAGAAGTCTTCCAACGGGGACACTCGTTCTGGTCCAAGAGGGGATTTCTCTCACATAGGAAATATATCCTCCACTTCCTGTTGAGTCCATGAGACAAGAAGTGAAGGGAATTCTCTCTTTCCACCCTTCCCTAATCTATCCAAAATGGTAAATAAAAGATTTGGCAGTAGATACACTTTAAAAACTGACACACTCCATCCAAAATGAAAAATATATACGTAAAGTTGAAACGCTGTCATTCTTTTCTAATATAATCAATATAAACATTAGTAATGACCTATAATATCATATTCATGAAGTGGGACGGCCGGTTGTTTTTACTGCTCCATCTGATTGGTTGGAGTTACAATTTATATTCTATCCATATTTGGAGTTTCCATATGTTGTCATGTCTAATGTGTACATTGTAATAATATGTTGGGCCTCAATATTGCCTATTCAGGTACAATGTCGGTGTTCATATGTGCGGTCAAGCTCCGCCCCCAGGTCTTATGCAGGCCAAACACACTGCAGCTTGCTGGAAATGTTAATGAACTTTTAATTCCAAGATCGGGTCAAGGTGACCTACTGGCAGCTTTTACATGGCAGGGATAGTGAAAGTATTTGTCAGAAAGGGCGTGCTGCCAAATACTGTACTTGATATCGTTTTTGTTCTGCTCCTTTCAGGTTTGCTCGACGAGGTCCATGAAGAAAATCTCGAAGTTGGCGTATCACAATGGAGTGGTAATTGTGACGTGTCCCGGGTGCAAAAACCACCACATCATCGCTGACAACTTGGGCTGGTTCTCCGACCTGGAAGGGAAAAGGTACATAGGCCAACTGCTGATATTATTACCTGGTAGTCTTTTATAATTACTTACAGCCATCATGGGCAACCAGTGCCAGGAACACAGCAACTACAAATCCCAGCATGCCGTTCCAACTCCTGATATGCTTTCTGTCATGACTTCTGATACCTTATAATGAATAATTAACTTATAAGAGATATTTCAAGAGAATCTGTCACGTTGCCCATTTATTGTTAGGACATCCCCTCACTTAAGTGACCTTCCTCCCAAGATGGTGTTCCTGGCCCTGAGCGGCTAATTGCCACATAGGGGATGGGTGATGGTTGTTAACACTGTGTAAGCTCTGACACAAAGGAATCAAG